TATCTATCTATCTATCTATCTATCTATCTATCTATCTATCTATCTATTTATCTATCTATCTCTGCTGTTGTTGCTGATTTGTTTCAGTTATGTCCAACTCTTCATGACTTCATTTGGGGTTTTCTTGGCAAAGAGAATGGAGTGGATTGCTATTTCCTTCTCCAGCTCGTTTTCCAAACGAGGAAATTGAGGCAAACAGGGTTAAGTGACTTGCTCAGGGACACACAGTTAATAAGTGTCTGAGGCCAGATTTGAACTTAGGAAGAAGAGTCTTCTCGACTCTAAGTCTGGCCCTCTAACCACTGCATCATCATGCTACCCCTATCTATCAATCTACTTTTCATCTATCAATTGATCTGTGTACTATGGCAGCTCTATAAATCTGTAAGTTGCAGAATAGCTGCCTATCTCCACTGGGAGTTTCCACCTTTCACTGGGGAAATCACAAGTCTCTAACAAAATACTAAAAACTAAACATAGTATTCACGGTTTTCTCTTATCACTCTTCAGTTTTATGAAGTAGTTTAAGGAAAACTGACAAATGCAATCAATTTTCAATTTCTACCTAGATACAAGTATCACACCTTGACTAAGACCTTATACATGTGTTAGGTCTATTAGCAACTGCTCTTTAGTGTTTCCATCATAAAAGACTGTCTTACCAGTTGGAAGAGAATCCAGTATTCCATAAAGAAGTGGTCAGAAGAACAGTGACTAAGCCATATAGGATAAATAGACATGTCAAGGAAACTACAGCGTGGAAGAGCCCTTTATGAAGTTGAACTTCAGAACAATCCCTGCTTGGAAAAAATGCTGTGTCTCCATGATGGCTTCCACTTCATGTATCCCTTCTCTATCCTCTCTCACCATCTCCCTCCATCCCTTTCTTACTCACATCCTCTAGGCTACAACTCACTGAAGATTATCCTTTTTTATAGTTTCAGAATTTCTCTACAGAGTGACATTATATCTCCTTGGCTTGTCCTAGTGTCTTCGCCCTGGGGAATATATATTTCAGGGATGACTATAGTTCCTGAAAGCAATATTCGTATAAAGATTGCAGGATCATGGATTTAGAATCAGAAAGACTCTCAGGCATCATCTGGTCCAATCACTTCATTTCATAAATGAAGCAAAGAAGATTCAAATTGCTTAAATGTCTTGCTCAAGGCACCCCAAAAAGCAACAGAGACAAGATCCAAATACAAGTCTTTACGCTCCAAGTCCAGTCATTGATCTACGTTGGATGTCTATGTATTTCTCTCTGAATGAAACTATGGAAACCGTATGGTTGTAAATTCTCTAAAACTTTTTTTTTCTTAAACAAAGGTACTTTTATTTAACAATGTTGTCATTTAGCATCATTTTTGTGGTTTCTATTTTGAATTTTGTTGTTTGTCCTTCATTCTTGAAGAGGACCATGACATCAGGGAAGTGATGTCATGACTTGCAAGTGAATTGGATTTAAGTGAGGGAGGGCTGTGCAAGGTCACCAGCCTCATTTTCTCTTTTGGAGCCATCCACGTCCCGTGGCAAAATATAGATTAGGATGACTGGAGATGGCCCTGTCTATTTTGAATACTTTAAAAATGAATGTGGGAGTAGAACATTTCTCCTAAGGTAGGACCAAAATCTCCCTTCAGCTATTTGATATAACCCAGCTATTTTGGTAAAACTCAAATACATGAACATAAGAATGGATGCATTCCTAGTGGGCTGGAGTTTCTTTATCTTTAAATTTTATAGAAATCTTCATTTTTGAAGTACCATTTTTTCTCCAGGTTTTAATAATGACAACAAAAATAGATATTTACTGTGTACTTTATATTCATTATCACATTTTAACCTAATAAAAGAACTCTAGGAATCATTAACCTTGTTCTCTAGATAGGGATACTAGGCTTACAGAGATTAAACTGCTTCCTGGTGGGCATATTCCTAGTGTCAGTTGCAAAATTTGAAACCACATGGGGTCAAGTAAACAAGTATTTATTAAGTGCCTATTATGTGGCAACTATGGTAAGGAACTATGTTAAGCATTGGGGACACAAAAAAAATTTCCTTTCTTTCAAGGAACTCACAGTCTAATTATAAACAATTATGCTTATATATGAGAGAAATGCATAATAAATTGGAATTAATTTCAGAAGGGCACCAACTTTAAGGTAGACCTAGACATCTTTCTGGGAAGCTAGGTGGCATAGTGGCTAGAGCACTGGGCCTAGAGTCAGGAAAATCTGAGTTCAATCTGGCTCCAGATACTTAATAGCTATGTGACCCTGGACAAGTCATTTAATGCTGTTTACCTCAATTTCCTCATCTGTAAAATGA